CTGAAAGGGACGCCCCTCCTCTTGCCATCCCGGTAGAAGATGAGGGAGGATGGGGATTCAGAAGCCCGGAGCTTCCCGGTCCGAGACTTGAGCTGGGGGGAGTTGCTGAGGCTCCGGCGGTCCAGTTCCAGGATCCTGGACGGCCCGTGGTAGCTGGATTCCGACGAGGACCGTGAGGACGACAGGCTGACGTCCACGTGCACCTTGGTCTCGGTCTTCTTCTTGAAGGTCAGCGCCAGGAAGCGCTTGAAGGACGACTTCTTCTTCTTGGTGTGTTTGTCGGGGGAGCTGCCCTCGATCAGGAGCGACGGGGAGCTCTTGGTGATGGGTCTTTTGGTGATGCAGGCCAGGTCGAAAGGAGGGGGGATGTCGACCATGGAGGACGGGGTGGAGGTGCCGCTGGACGGGAGGTGGTTTCTCTGGGAGAAGCTTCCAGAAGAGCTGACCATGCAGGGCAGGGAGAGGTTGTCCTCATTCCTCTTGATCCGGTGGTCCTCGAACCCAGGGCCCTCGGGGTCCCGGAACAAGGAAACCGGGACCTCTCGGCCTTCCACGGAGAAGGACCGGGGGTACAGCGTGAAGGCTCTGGGCTTGGCCGGCAGGACCCTGCTGGCCTCCAGGGCCTTCCCCTCCAGTGACAGCCCCGTCCTTCTCGCCTCCTCCAAGCCACCTCCAAGGCCGACGGCGGATGAGCCAGCTTCTGGTCCCGCTTCTTCGGGGACGGTTTCTGGGACGCAGCCGGTCATCTTCCCTGAGTGGGGCCGGGCCCTGGGGATGACGGCCCTCCTGTCTGCAGAGGCCAGGCCACCCTCGCCATCGGAGCCCACATCTTCCTCCGTGCTGTGACTGCTCTGTGGGTCCAGCGTGGCCTGGGTCTCAGCGGGCCCTCCTTCCCTGGGGTCAGCCGGGCCCGGCAGGCCAACGGCCATCACGTAGGGATTGGTGAGCGAGTCGTCGACGGTGCCCTCATCCTCAGGCACGACCACCACATCGGGGACAGATGGGCCCTCCGCAGGGCTGCCCTGAGTCCCGGCCATGGCGGCCTCCTCTACACCGACCTCTGAGCACAGTGCTGGCTCTGACTCTAAGCCCTCGGCAGACTCGGAAAGAGAAGTGTTCTCGCTGCAGAAAGAGGTGCTCTCGGTGGGGAAGAAGGAGTAGGGGCTGCCTGTAAGCGGGGGCACGAGGTCGTCCAGGCCATCACTCTCAAAGGGAATGATGTGGCAGCTGTCCTCGACGGGCTCGTCCTGCACGCTGTCCTCACCCCCCGCAGGGTCTCCCTCTGCCTCCTGGCCGGCCTCTTCGTCACGCTCAGGGGGTTCCTCCTGGCCAACGCCATCCCCACGGCCTGCGGGGTCCTCCTCGGAAACCTCAGGGCTGTCCGTGGCCACATCGACCTCCTGCAGACCTGGGGCCAGCCCCTCACTCTCGGCGGGCTCCTGGCTGGCACCCTCGGGGGCCTGCCCAGTATCCTCAGAGGGGCTGTCGGACTCCACGGTCTCATCCAACCCTCCTAGCTCTGCACTGTCATGGCCTGCCTCATCACCCTCCTCCAGCTCCCCGGGGGTGTCGGGCGAGTGGGGCTCCTCTCCAGGAGCTGCAGGATCCTCTGGGTCAACGTGAGTGAGAATGATGTCCCTCTGAAGGATGGCCTCCCCGTCCCAGGCGCCCCGGTCCCCCAGGTTGTAGGCGTTGTTCTCCTTCACCAGCTTCTCCTCCTCCTCGCTCGTGGACGCCTGCTCCTCTGTCCCTGTGTCATTGTCACAATCCTCCTCCTCCCCAGTTTCAGGGCTGTCGCCTTCGCCACCCTCGCCTTCTCCGCTCAGCGCCTCTTCGGCTGGGCCAGCCGGGGCTGCCGGGTCCTCACCGGCTCCTGTCCCCTCTGCCCCACACACCTCGCCTTCCTCCTCCTGGCCATCTGTCCCGGGCACTGCTGGAGCCACCGCGAATGCGTTCTCCACATGGGCCCAGTCCTTGGGCTCCTCTCTCGTGGGGACCACGATGTAGTCCTCGTCCGTCTCCGACTCCGAGCACTCCAGGCTGGACCGGGGCCCCCCGCAGGGCCCCCTGTCGCCGCAGAGCAGCGCCCCGTTGCTGCATTTGAGGCTGTTGTTCACGTACACGCTGGCTCGCCACTCGCTGGGGGCGGCCAGCCTGGGCTTCGGCGCGATGGGGGGCTTGGGGCCCCTGGACATGGAGTTGGGGCTGCGGAGCCCGTCAGGCCTGGGAGAGGAAGGGAATTTGGGTGCAGTACCTGGCGTGAGTGGAC